CATCAAGACCTACCCACCTACCAAATATCAAGACAATCCATCAAGGCCTTCTCAAGTTATCGTGTTTACAGACACACAGACACACACACACATACACGAACGCCTCTGAAAACATAACCTTCTTGGCGAAGGTAATAATTATATTATTAAAATACGTCGCCGGTGTGTTTTTTAAACACCACCCTTGTTTTTCCTTTCCACGATCGTGTCGTGGTCTTTATTTCAAAATATTTACATAAGATTACATACGGTACATAATGTTTACGGAATATACAGTATTTCAATCACAATCTATAAGACACAGAAGATCTCCCCAGTTTCTTTTTGCGTTAATGTATGATATATTTTGTTCTATTTTTAAGATGGCAGTAAGGTCAGTTAGAAAAACAGAGAATGGATCTATTTCATTATAACAATCTTTGTCCTTATAAGTGCACCAGCTTCTAAATATAGCGTACATTGCTATAGCTATTGTATGATTAATTGCACTTGATTTTTGTTGGTTCTGTGGACATCCAGATAACAATAACAGTGTTTCAGCATTGATATCCTTTAAAGTAGTTATAATGTTCAGTAGTTTCTCCATTTTTTTCCAAAAATTGATAAGTCTTTTGTATTGAAAGAACATATGTTTTTCGTCCTCTATTTATGAACAGATTTTACATAGAGGCGACCTTATTAATTTCCATTTAAAGAGATTTTGATTATTAGGAAGGATTCTATGCAGAAACTTGTACATAAAGTTTGACAATTTTCTTTCCATGGTTAAACCAAATTTTGTACCTTAATTTCTAATACCAACACCAGCGCATCATCTATATGTAACACGATTAGTATCTAGCCTCTTTCGTAGACTTGTGGGGCGGCGGCGTTGATTTGTTTTTTTTTCGGGGAGCGACGCGAGTTAAACTGCGGAGGGACGGTTTTGCCTCCAAAAGAGTTTGCCGGGGAGAGAGTTTTTCACCGGGACAGTGAATAACGCCGCCCCACAAGTCTGCGAAGGAGGCTAATTAGTATTAATGAATGAAATACCTTTATTGTACATTCATTCCACGACGGGCTAGGTACAGGTCAACATATAACAGACACGTATATAGGAAATTGGAGACAAAGGATGCACTACTTGACTCAGACATACACGCATAAGGAACATACAAGGGTACTATACTAGGCTAATACATAGTGTTCTAGACACTGAGCTAATATAGAGAGGTCAACTTCTTCTCGCTTTTTTGTACAGTGGAAAATGTGGGAACAGATCATGTTTGTTTTACAGGGTTTGTCTAGACGCATCAAAAATATAAATTTATCATTTGCGCTTAGGTGTTCAAAGTATGGGAACTTCTCTTTGATATAATTAAAAAGGACAGATCTTTCATAAGAATATAAAGTACAGTCTAAAATAAAGTGTTGTTCATCCTCTATTCTATTCATGTTACAGTATTGACTGAGTCTGTTCTGGAGAGGAATGCGGTTGTGCCTTAATAATGACAACCACTGCGTCTAGTATTCAATATTCTCAATTGCTCTTGAGGTAACTGTATAATTATCTAACGGGTTCATGCCGACCTACACTACCTTTTTGCGACGATATGATTTTAGTCCTGAACTTCAGGCACAGATTTCAAAAACTAGTGTTTTCATGTACAAAGTATAGACCATTTCCGCTCCCTTGGCAACGTCCTGGCAACTGGCCCGGTTTACACGGCCAAAAATATCCTTTGGCCTGCGTCGAACGACGCGCGGCGCATTTTTGCGACAGATTTTC